AAATGGTGAGGGGTGTGGAGCACAAATATGAGGAGCGGCTGAGGGAGCTGGGATTGTTCAGTGTGAGAAGAGGAGCTCAGGGCAGACCTGACTGCACTGTACAACTTCCTGAAGGGAGGCTGTGGTGAGGAGGGGTTTGGCCTCTTCTCCCAGGCAACAAACAGGACCTGAGGAAACGGCCACAAGTTGTAGCAGAGGAGGTTTGGGTTGGACATGAGGAAGAACTTTTTGTCTCAGCGGTCAGGCATGGAATGGCTGCACAGGGAGGTGGTGCAGTCGCCGTCCCTGGCAGTGCTCAAGAGGCGCCTGCATGAGGAGCTGCGAGATCTGTTCAGTGCTTGTGGTGATGGGAGGGCAGTTGGACTCCTTGGTCTCGCAGGTCGTTTCCAACCTTGTGATCCTGTGAAACTCTGTTAGGCATCAGCATCCAACATGAGCTCTGTACCAACTCTTGCAGATACCTGGCTTACCGCAACTTCATGATCGACACCTATCGCCTGAACCCCCAGGAGTACCTGACCAGCACTGCCTGCAGGAGGAACCTGACTGGAGATGTGTGTGCTGTCATGAGGTGAGGAAACATCCATCTTTCAGCCACTGCTTTCACTAGAAGAAAAGGAAATAGGGCTGCTTTAGCAATGGAAATGCCCTGGTAGACAAGATGTGTGTGGGCAGTTTGAGTTGGAAGGGACCCTTAAAGGTTATTTAGTCCAACTCTTCTGCACTGAACAGGGACGCCTACAGCTAGGTCAGGTTGCTCAGAGCCCATCCAGCCTGACCCCCAGCCTGTAGTCACTGTGCTGTTTCATCAGCAGTCTGTTCAGCCTCTTCTTACAGCCAGACTATGTTATGCTGTCCTTTATTTGTGATACTCTGGGTGCTCCCTGAACCTACAGAGTTGGGATCTTAACCTTTAGTGTCTGCTATTTATTCAGCGTGGGGAGTTTTTTTCAGAGTTCCTGGGTTTGCAGTTCAGTTTTACTGCTTTTACCTGTTTCATCAGTCTTAAGTTGTAGGGTGCAGCAGAGCCCTGGAATCTCAGGAGTTACTGATTGGTAGATCCAATGAAGAACAGCTACAGATGGTGAGAGAGGAAAGAAGGGAGTTGTGCAGCCCTCACATTGGTGTGATGGCCGCAGATGGCTCCACGTGTGCAGCCCTAGCTTTGCTTCGTCTTTAATTAAATGTCCTGTTGTTCTGTTACCATGTTACATTTTAGCTATCATGTTGAAGTGATAGTCAGGTCCACACAGCGTGTAGTATTTATTGCTCTTGTGATCAGTGAAGATCTGTGGGAGCTGATGAGGCTATCTGATCCAAAACCAAAGCCTGTTCCTCGGCTGTCTTTGCAGTCTCGCTTTGTTTCTTAACATTCGGATTTGTCCTTTGGTTTCAGAGTGCATGCTTTTCTGGAGCAGTGGGGTCTCATCAACTACCAGGTGGACCCAGAGAGCCGCCCCATGGCCATGGGCCCTCCTCCCACCCCTCACTTCAATGTGCTCGCCGATACGCCCTCCGGCCTCATGCCTCTGCACATCCGCACGCCGCAGGTGAGCCCTGCACTGCCCTGGGGATGGGAGGTGGCAGATCTGCTCAGTGTCATGCAGGGGAATATTGTCTGCACGTGTTGCTCATGGAAGATGTTCGTGAGCTCAGAAATGGGCCTGTCGAGTCACATCATATCATAGAACCACAGAACGGCCTGGGCTGCAAAGGAGCACGATGCTCATCCAGCTCCAACCCCTGCTGTGTGCAGGTCACCAACCAGCAGCCCAGGCTGCCCAGAGCCACATCCAGCCTGGCCTTGAATGCCTGCAGGGATGGGGCATCCACAGCCTCCTTGGGCAACCTGTGCCAGTGCCTCACCACCCTGTGGATGAAAAACTTCCTCCTCATATCCAACCCAAACCTCCCCTGTCTCACTTTCAAACCATTCCCCTTGTCCCATCACCACCCACCCTCACACACAGCCGTTCCTCCTCCTGTTTATCTGCTCCCTTCAAGCACTGAAGGCCACCATGAGGTCTCCCTGCAGCCTTCTCTCCTGAACCAGTCCTGCACTGTGTGCAGCTGATGCTGTGTAAAGGCATCTCCATAAGTCATCGTGTTGAGCTGTTTTGTTGGTTCTGTGTTCTGCTCAATATTTGTCTGAAAACTCGGGATGCCTTTCAGCTCCTGACCTTCTGTCCTTCCTTTCATGTTTGTTCACAGATCCCAGCTGCTCAGCAGATGCTGAGTTTTCCTGAAAAAAACAAAGAGAAACCCACTGACCTGCAGAACTTTGGACTTCGCACAGACATTTACTCAAAAAAGACTTTAGCAAAGGTAAGTGCATTTGGATTTCTGTTCCCCTGTGGCTTCTATTAAGCATTCTTCCTTAGTTGTCCTCCTCTAGATGATAGTTAAAAGACTTGTTACTCTTAGATTCCCACTTCAGATCTCACACTGAGATGCCTCACTGTATTCATGTTGGATACACAGCTTTGTGGAGAGGACCACATGCCTGTCCCAAACTATTCAGTGCTGTCAGCCTGCAGACACTGAATTCATGTTATCCTCATTTGATATTTTGATTTCAATTAAAAAGCTCTGTAGTCAGCCAGGTGTCAAATAATTCAGTTCAGAACCGAGAATCTTTCAGCAGAGTCTTGAGTACAGAGCTGAGAATCTCTCAGCAAAGTGCAGAGTTTGGCACTTGGGCCAGAGGAATCCATGTACACAGACTGGAAGAGCAGTGCTTGAGAGCAGCCCTGCTGAGAAGGACCTGGGGGTCGTGATGGATGAAGAAATGACCATGAGCCAGCAGGGTGCTCTTGTAGCTTGGAAAGCCAATGGCATCCTGGGCTCCATCAGCACAGGGGTGGCAGCAGGGACAGGGAGGTGATTGTCCCTCTCTGCTCTGCCCTTGTGAGGCCCCACCGGCAGTGCTGTGTCCAGGGCTGGAGCCCTCAGTACAAGAAAGACAGGG